CTTGTCCCAGTCTCCATTTGCCGTGATGGATAGGTATGTGCTTGTGCACATGTGCACAGGAGAGAGAGCATGTGAGCCCAGAAACACAAGAATAAACAAGTTTTGTTCAAAACCAGGCTACAAACAGCAGGTAGGAAGCCATAAGGCAGTGGTACAGCAGTTTTTCTTTTCAGCAGGGACTTTTAATTCACAGACAAACACATGAGTTATTTAAAAAAACAACAGCCTTGAATCCCACCTGTTATTGGTGTTAGGAAATGCGCAGACGAAACAAATCAAATCCTGACCTGCTCGGCAGCACAAGCCTTCCTGCTTTTCCAGGAAAGCTTTGAGGAAGGCTCTTGGTGTTGGTTAAAACAGCCACATATTATTTAAATGTTATTATCTGTAAATTTCCCAGGTTGATAACTGGGCTGATGTCATCACAGAGTTCTTGAAAGAGGAGTGCAGGCTCCTCTAAGGACACTTTTTGATTGCCAGGTTATTTACTTTGTGTTTGTGAGCATTTAAAAATGGAGTCCAAATTTTTAATAGATATTGAACTCTAGATTAAGTACATGTGCTGAAGAGATATGGTGGATGAACTTTCCTTTCCTGAAATTTCTGTGTGTTTACTGAAGATTTAGGGATTTGCTGGTTTTGTTTTATCAAGTTCTCCTATGAATTTTAATCATAAAGGCTGGGTAAGATTTCAAGATCTGATTCCCAGATTTGCCTGTCATAAATGATTGCTAACATGGAAGACTGTACTCGCTTTCCTACTGTGTTTTTTTCTCAGAAAAATGTTTACCTTAATCTGAAAAACTACCAACATTCTGATAATGTTGTCGCTCCCTAAGTACACACATGAGCCTTGTGTAATCACATATTTATTGAGGAACTGAGATGTCTTGTCAGGTGGAGTCTGAAGCAACCCAGTCACAGATGACCAGAGAGTACGCAGTATCAGATTTAAAATTCATAACCAGAAACTTTTGACTGGAAACAGATAGGATGGAGGCAGCTGCAAAAGTGTCTGGAAACTTGTACTGGAATAGAGGTTGGAGGACCACACAAACGTAGTGCTGTAGCACACAGGGTAGCAGGTAGGTGGGCTTTTCAGTTATGGTGGAGAGGAGGATTGTTATGCAGAAAGCAATCCCATTACGACTTGGATGGTTTCAGTTCCTGTGAGAAAAAAAATTTAAAAATTAAGAAATATTTGCTTCCATAACAAGGAAAGGCTATCTTTTAAGAGGATTATATCCAGATAAGGAAAACCAGAAGTACCAACATAGATGCACCATTTACTCCCAGGAAAGAGGTTTGAAGACACTTCTGGGGTTACCTTGCATGACAGCTTTTAATTACTGTATGTTAATTGCTGTAATCTAAGTAAGGAATTCATATTCCAAAACCAGTTCCAGCAAGCCAAGCTGCTAACTTTCCTTTTGTTTCTTGCTTTACATAAGTGCCAATGATAGGAATAGTAGAATTCCCTCTTTAACCTGTGCCCTTCTGCAGCACGGTGTATTTTAAGAACAACATTTTTACTGCTAGACAGTATCTTCTACTCTAATCTATACCTTAGGAGAAAATCTAACTCAGATTTCGTGGGAAATCAGAGGCAAAGGCAGGCTTGTTATGGGCATGGACAAGCAATTGACAAGGATTCAAAAGAATGACCTAAGGATATTCTTGAGAAGTTATGAATATTTATAGGAAATCCATATTTGGGGCCAAATCATGAGATTTGAAAACATTTCTACCCATCTCTGTGGTATGGGTTGATGGCAAGTTTTATGTCTGTTTTAGTACCAGACACATTTCATGGGATCAAGAAATCCCATAAACATGGCATTTACTGCAAGCATTGACTTGAAGAGCACTGGGAGAGAAATAAACTTGTACACTATGGAATTATGGAATTATTATTCCTGAATAATATCAGGATGGAAGGTTCAAAGGATTCCCTTTGAACATTAAAGAAGCCAATTTTAATTAATAAAATGTTAAAGAAGTTGATCTTTCTTTTCTTCTGAACAGACTCCAAATGTATCACTGTAGAACTTTGTGTTCCCTTCCAGGTTAGTGCTGCTTCCACTAGTACAAAAAGCAGGCAAACAAGCATGGCTTAGAAGACCACAGATGTGTGACTGAGATTTGAGTACACATTTTAAGTGTTTTTATTTAGAGAAAAGTGTTAGATAAGCACAAAAAGATGAATTTCAGGTCATGGTGACATTAAATACCTGAATGGGGCAGAAAAATCCTTATTACAAAAGTCTGAAAAAAGACACTAAATCAAGAAAAAAAAGGCAGTCAAAATAATATAAATCTGAGTAATGAAGACCATAAAAGTGATATACTCTCTATTCTCTCCAACTTAGAATACAGTGTGATAAAAGATAATTCAACAAATTAAATTATTTAAAATATCCAAAACCATCACTGGAGAAGATGTGATGGGATGTAAGATGGAAAAAACAGTCACCACCCATCATTTGAGCTTCTATTTTGTGTCCCATATGATCAGTAAAGCATTATGTTACATTACCTGTGGAGAATTAAATAAATCAATGGACAGACTGATAGACTTGACAAGCTGGGAAAAATTTGATAAGCTGTCTGAATAAGTGTAAATCCAAACTGAGCTCAACACCAGGGGAACGAGGCTTATATCCCTGCACCTGTGTTTCCATGCTCGAGGCACCACAACAATGTTTCTTCTTAAATGTGAGTATCTTTGGCAGCTCTCATGAAAAGTTTTGCTAATGAAGCTGTTTTTGAAGAAGTTAATGGAAAGGAAAAATGATTCCCTATAAAGATTTGTATAGGGATCATTTACTCCCATTATTTCAATAAGCAATGGCATTGTCATGATACCAAACCAAAATGTTTACTATTGCTAAAAATCTCCAAACCCCATATCAATTATTTTATCTTGGATGCATCACTATTATAAACAATTTTCCATTGTAAAGGTTCTTTCATAGGCCCATGACAAAGGAAAGCACTTTTCAGGAAAGGAATAAAAAAGCAATTTCTATCTGAAATTTTATATTTCTTTCACTTTCAGTCAATGTCTACTGCCGTAGTTAACAAAAGTGAGAATTCATTCAAAACCATTGGTTTAGTGGATTAGGAAATATAGTTGCTGGACCTTGGAATATATTAGAGAATCACACAGAAAGACAGAATATGCTGAGTGGAAGGGATTCATAAGGATTATCAAAGTCCAAATCCTGGCTCTGTGCAGGACACCTAGGAGTCACACAATGTCCCTGAGAGTGTTGTCCAAAAGCTTCTTCAACTCTGTCAGTCTTGGTGCTATGACCACTTCCCTGGGGAATATGCTGCAATGCCTGACCCCTGGGTGAAAAAAATTTTCCTGATATCCAGCCTAAACCCCCCCTTGACAAAACTTCAGACCATTCCTTGGATCCTGGTTGCCACAGAGCAGAGATCAGTGTCTGCCCCTCCTCTTCCCCTCATGGGGAGTTGTGACTGCAATGAGGTCTCCCCTCAGTCTCCTCTTCTCCAGGCTGAACAGACAAAGCACCCTCAGCCACCCCTCATTCACCTTCCCCTCAAGGCCCTTCACCATCTTTGTTGCCCTCCTTTGGATGCTCTCTAGTAGTTTAATATCTTTCTCATATTGCGGTGAACAAAACTACTTTGTTATTGTTAAGTACGTTCCATGATTTTTTTCAAATCCAAATCTACTGTTGGATGAGGTTTGTGGATGAATACTTGGGAAAAAAATAACAAAACCCAAGTGCAAATAACACCTTCTTTCTGCATTCTCAGCCTCTAGGACTGGATTATGACAATGCTGAAAGTTACTCTGAATATTTTTTTTTTAAATTACCATCTCTGCTCAGCTCATCATTTCAGTTGAGAAATTGCTATAATGCCTTCAGTTTAAAACCAGTAACAGACAGACAGACTTGTTTTCACTATAGCAGTTTTCACACAGCCCTTGATGTCAGCTTTATTGTAAAAATTTTCAGCAGACCTACCTCACTACTGGCATAAAATTTCTTCTTCAAACTGATAAATACTCAGCAAGGCAGAAGCTGTGATCAATTTCCCAGAAGCAGAGAAAGCAAGGGGAAAAGTATATGAGAAAGTATCCAACCTGGCTTCAAAAAGCCAACAGAAAACAAAAGGTTTATTGGTTCCCAGTACACCTCTCAGTGTGTTTTAACTTGCGCCACAAAGAAGCCTAAGAGCACGCCATCTCTATGGTGTATTTTCTTGTCTTTAATAAATGGGGGAAACTAAAGGCGTAGACACTCTAGCTGGCTGTGGGTACACAGCCTGTGAGACTAGCCTGGAGCTAGTCCAAAATTCACAAGTTCAGCACCAGCTCTACAGACCTGCTCCTCTTGCCTTATCCTTCCTGCCAACAAGAAGGATATTTGGTATTGTCAAAATGCCACGTGTATGGTGGTGCTCCCTGTTTGTGAGAGCATTTACACTCCCTCTGGTTAACCTGATGCTGACAGTGTCACTGGTGTCACCAGTGACCAGTGTCACAATTGTCACCAGAAAACTTTGCACAAATACCTGTTGCAATCAGACTGCTTTTTCTTGAGCTACTAGTTGGTTTGATTATCCAGGAGCTTAGTCTGGATAGCCTCACTCTTGGCAGTTCCCAAAAAGCCTTTGCTCTCCTTTGAGTTTATTGACAAGTTTGCCAAGCCTCCAGTCACATTCTTCTATATTTTTAGTTTCACTTCTGCCTACCCTTGTTTCTGCTGGGGCTGAAAGTGTTGCCAAACCCCCCAGGTTTGCATATTTCCCTCTTTGTACCATCCCAGTTAGAGAATGGTGTCGCATGGCAACACAATGCAAAGCATTCATTTAGTGACACAGAACAGTCTAGCTAAAGGCTATTTCAGCCTCGAATGGGTTCATTTTTGTGGAGGAGAGTAGACAGAAAAAAGGGAAAATGTCCACAGATCCCACAATCCTTTATTTGGAAGAATGGCTTTTAAATGAAGTCAGGCAGTATCTTGTTTTATCATTCATTTATTTAGCAAAGAAAGGAATGAATTCAAATACCCCACACAATGAACACATATTATTCCCTGATATCAAGATGCAGATTCGCTTGTGAACAATTTTAAATGAATCTGGTTCTTTTCTATTGAAGTCATCTTGTACTGTGCATGGATTTGTGCAGAAGCAATACATTTTGGGCTCAATTCTGTAAACACATTAAAATAAGTAACTCGTTACATCTATACCATTGATCTCGGTGTGGTTACTTATATGATGAGTAAAATTATATTCAAGAGCCTAGCTTATGCCAACCTAGGCATGGAAATTACACTGAAAATTAGAAGTATCTCTCTCTAGGCTCACTGCAGTGTTGGTGGAGAGACACAAACCCTCATCAGGATGTAACTCTGCCATCTAAGTATGTTTTCCTAGATGAGACATAGATGATGCTGGTGGCAGCTACAGTTAAAATTGGCCAGACGCCTCAAGCAGAGCAAGATAAGCTTGGACCAAACTGTTTACAGAATTGATCTCATACAGCAAAGCCATTATGCATACAGTCAACGTTAGGAATGTGCTCATGTTGCGCTGATTTTATTAAAACTGGTCCCACATTTAAAGAAATGAATATATTTATTTTATAATCATGAGGAAAAAATACTGAAGCATTTAATCCTATTAACATTTTACTTACATCTGGGACCTCTTACATTCTTTTCTGGTTTGAACAGCCATATGGTCTGATGCTCGGAGAAATTTCTCCACTAACGTAAGTGCTTCAGTAGCTCTTGATTTGTACGCTGAAGTGGTATTTTCCCAGAGTCTGCTGTGGATCTCTGGTAGGGCTAACTAAATGCACAGTACCCTACACCAATGTGAGACTTTCATCAGTACTGCTTAATAGCCTGGAAATCAAAACCATTTAAGCCCCATTCTTTCTCTTATGAAATTCCAAATCCTAGTAAAAAATCTCTCAATTAGTTTTAGCCAAACCACACTGCTTCAACATCAGGTGACTGCAAACGGCTGCAAAAGCTTCTACATAGAGTAACTTAAAAAGGCCATAAAGATCATCAAACTCAAATCAATGTCCAAGATATATCTGCAAGCATGAGCCTATTTTCTAAGCAACTGAGGAATGTATGCTATGGTTCAGACATAAAAAATAAGCACAAATTGTGCACTCAGGCATAGCGGTACTTTGAGTTGGCCAATGAGTGTCTATACTGCGCAGGATGGGACTGGCAGTCTTGCCTCCTCCTCCCTCCATGCAGCAGGGCTACATGGAAACAGCTTTACTTATTTTCATTTATCTGCCAAACTGTTTACATTCAAAATAGAGAAGCATTTTAAAATTTATGCAATCAGTGTAAGCGTGGTTAGTAATATTAAGTAATGGCATCAGAGGTAATATACTTATTTATCCAAAATAGATCGCTTTATCCAAGTGAAAGGATGAAGGATATTTAAGTGTGGCATTTGATAAGCAAGGGACTTGATTTTCACTTTCAAGAAAAGAACAATGCTTTCATAACCAAATTTTATCCTTGAGAAAATCTGAGAGCTCTATTGGCTTAAGCAAGGTTTGCAGGAAATGCCCACTTGTTATATTTTTGACAGAAAAATAAGAGCTTTCAAGAAGAAATGGACATCATTTAATAGGAGATTTGGCAGTGCTAGGTTAATTGTTGGACTTGATCTTAGATATCTTCCAACCTAAACAATTCTATGAAATCTGCTTTTTCAGCTTTGTAGCCTATTTTAGAAAAAATGCTAAATAAAGTAAGTCAAAAATTAATAGAGACTGAACTTTGCTTTGCTCCATGTACTAGAAAAAGCTGTTCTAAGCTACCTGGGCAGCTACAGAGAATTCAGAAGATGAAAATACTGATACAGGCAGTGCATCTGGGGTCCTTTAAAATTACCTAAGACACAAATATCTAAAGGCTTTAAAACCTAGGTTGTCTCCCAACCTAGCTTGACAAGGAGATCTTGCCATCTAGTTTTTCTCATTTAAGTGCTGTGAAATTTCTACATTTACCCTGCTGCTTCAGATAGAGTTTTGAATATATTTCTACCTGTGGTATAGAACAACTAAATTTAGGAAGCTAAATCACAAAGAAAAATAGTTAAAAGAAATGCTTTCCTGACATGTTGGCATGGGAGCTGCTCAAAGATCTAGAACACCTGAAATACTCCTTTAGAAGAGGGAAGTGTGAGCAGACTGAGCATCTGCTAAATGGACTTCTACCTATCATCATGCAGACTTAACCAAGGGTATTATTACCACATATATAACATGTATCTAACATATGTATTTATCCATGAAAAGAATGAAAAACAGATCACTATAAAGATAGGCGCACCTCAAACTACTGAATAGTTAGGGAAAAAAAAAAAGATAATTTAAGTAATTTTAATTAAAAAAGGTAAAGTAAAAATACATAGTTCAAATCTTTTAAAGATATTGGTCTCACAACTATAGTCTAAATATAAAATCCAGAAGGTGGACTAATGTTCTCTTAGTACAGGGTCAGAAAGGAACAATGTCGCTCAAATGCATGTATGCACATCTGCTGCTTTTTCTTGGCAGTAGCAACAATATAGGTTTTATTTTATGCTATTTAAATATAAAATTTATCTCTTGGCATGAACACAGCAATTCAAATACCATACTGGTTATGACTTGGAGAGTTTTTCTCCTCTTTATTTCTTGCAAAGAAAATTTTCTCTCTTACCTAGGGAAATAAGCTAATTTATTCCTGGAAAACCAAATTTAATGTACAGTGAAAAATCACAAATTATAGAGACCCAGCATTATTATACTTTCTGGAGATGAGCTGGTATGAAGACAAGGTGCTTTCATTTGGCTGAGTTAGTAACAGGGAGAACTTATTCAGCTAGAAAAAAATAAGTGGCTGATCTTAACTACTTTCATAGATGGTAAATGTGTGTTATTTTACTGCATAGCATTTTAAAGATCACTTTGAATTTTTTTCATTTTTCTGCAGAACAGATTGGAAGCATAGTGCTACATTCAGATCTATCCCCATTCAAAAATGTAGCTCACTGCCATGAGTAGATGCAGTATTTACCATTGCTATGGAAGTGTTTATTGATACTTTTTGATTTTTTTTCCCATACATATTGTGAATCATTATAATCTGTACATGTTTTTCTCTATTTGTCCATAATACCACAACCTAATTAGCAAGAGCTCTAAACAGATTGGAAACATTTCCACTCTGATACTCCTTGCATACCTCCCTAGTATTCTAGTGTGACAGTCTTTGCTTTTAGCAAGAAAATGAAAGCCCAGTTCTTTAATCCTTAATATTCACTTAATTTCTTCTCACAAGCTTCTGAAATTAGCAAATGCTTCCTTGCTACTATATACTGTGTAAAATCTAACTCAAATCCCTGCAATTTTCTTTTTAGTTATACATAAGGAATTTCAGATACAAAAATAAAAATGTCATGAATGTGGGTGAAAACAGACAGGACAAAGAAAAATTATATAAAACTTTGTGTTTCCTCATCTACCACTACAAAAGGAATTAAAACTGATAACTTAAAACTCAAATAGTATTTTAAATATGTACATCAACGAAGTCCAACAAGATCATCACTTGAAACACCATAAGAATGTTCCTCTAGGGGCTGACTGATGCAGATCAGACATGGCAGCAAGATGAGACAGCCCTTTGCAAACGTATCTATATCCTCTGAGCCAGCTTTGTTTGTCAGACACGTGCATATAAAGTACAAGCTGGAAAGAAAAAAGCAGACCTATGATTATGCCTACATAACCCCAAGAGCCAGAGATGGCACGCAATACACGGCGCAGTTGTACTGCTCGTGGCCAGCCTGGTGGCGACTGCCACAGCCATCAGAGACAAGCCTGTCCCATGGGCACGCACCAGGGAGAGGAAGCCTGCGGAATGCCACAACAAACCCACGTGCTGCAGCAAGGCTGCTTTATTAAAGACACAGAGAAAAACCTCCCAGTGTGCCTCTCCCATCTGCCCTCCTCCCTTGGCCTCCCTGCGGGACAGTCCCTTCCACAGCCTTGCAAAAATCAAACTGAGCAAGGTGAAGGCTTTGTGTGACTGGGCTCGGCTTGCAACTGGAAACCACTGACACCGGAGGTGTCCGGGTTAATTACAAGATTGTATCCCTCGGTACAGCCTTAGTACTTCTCTGTACTCTGAGCAGCTGAACTGCAGTCAGAGTGATTTACAGCCCAGGAAGATCAGCCTACAGAGCCCAGAGCTGCTGCAGAGGATCACTAAACCACCACATTTCTTCTTGTCATCCCCAGCACCTTGTGAGCTCTTTTTGGCAGTGTGAGCTTCAGGAGACTGCACAGAGGGCTGACAGCAAAGCTCCCTTTTTAAACCCCAAGGAAATAAAAGACAACGCCTAAAAAGAAAATTAGATTTGTACTCCTGGCACAGGTTTAAGGGGCAACAATATTATTTCTTTTTAAAACTCCGGAATATTTAGTCACTTGTTAGAGAAATATGAGTGGAAATTTATGAAATCGAGCGAAGCAATGCAATCCTCATGAGTAGTCCAGCAACACTGAGGGGCTACAGCTGCCCCTGACACTGAAGGCCAACCTTGCATTCTGCAAAGAAAACATCATGTCACAAACAGGCGGTTTGGGCTTTTGGCAGCAATGGGACATTGATGGCTTGGATCGTGCTTGAAATGTCTCTGAACTTCATCTCTGAAGCCTCAATCACATGAGCACTTGAGTAGCACAGGCCTTGGGACCGGGGAGTTACAGGAGGCCAGAAAATACACAAGCCCATTAGTACTCATCATAATTATTGAAATCTGTAAAATAGGTATTAGAATAAGTCTTTGCAGTAAGGTGTGGATTGAAGTATTTGTTTCTCTCCTCTAGAATCAGGTTGTTTTTGTTAAATGCCTGGGAAGAAAAAGAGAAAAAAAGAAATCAGAAAAGGAAAAGAACATAGGAAAGGTATGCTCTTTCGCCAAGGCAGTTTTTGTGGCACATATCTGTGTATAGTAAGCCAGTCAAAAATTCATTGAGAAATACTTGTTTATCTACAGAAACTTGCATTTGCAGGAAGTATCTTCTTACATAATAACATTCCTACAGAAAGTAATTCTACTTAATAAAGCCAGGAATTTTCCCCCATAAAATTGCAAAACTAATTTAATGATTCTGTGAATATTTTTAATCATATATATGCAGTTCTTCCTATTAGAATGAGTCACTATCTTTTTACTGAATAAGTATTATTTTCTCTTTACGGTCTTAATTCCTGATTTTCAAGTGGCAAAAATGTCTGAAGGCCTTAAGAGCTTAAATCCTGTTTTTTAGAAAAGTAATATGCATATTTAGAATATGAATACGAATTTTCAAAGGAGTGTGGTTTTTTGTTTGGGTTTTTTTTTGTTTGTTTTTTTTCTTTTTTTTTGTTGTTTCTGTAGCTATCTAGAGAGATGATGTGGAATTTCAAAAAGCTTTAAATTAGGTTCATATTCCACTGCTGACTAGAAGATCCACACATTTCTTGCTGGTTTTGATAATTTTCATTAAAATGTCTTTAATTAGAAATAAAAATGCAGAAATTAAGAACTGGATTATCCAGGTAGGATTTAAGAAAAATCCTCATTTGCAAACAAGCTTTGCAGCTGCATGAATAAACTTTGCAATCTGAAGACACTGAACTAGGTATTTTCAAAATGCACATCCTTCCTTAATTTAGTGGATCTGAAAAGCAGAGTTATTTTAAAAGGTCACAAAAAGAGAAGTGCAATTTGGGAATAATGATGATGTAGTATGGATATCATTATAGACTCTCAGTATGCCTGTACTGCTTTTTCACAGAGTAGTTTAGCTATAAACAGTAGCTGAGAATCAGAATATATTCACCAGATACATCTTCCATACAGAGACATAGTGCAGGAAGATGAACAGTGCCCCTGAAACTGGATCATCAGAGCCAAAGGAATTTCCTCAGTAGATGCCATGGTAAATGTCTCTATTTACTTCTTGAACAAGCCAGTAGGGAACACAATTAGGAAAAAAATCCCACAAAACAACTCGAGTGATTTGTTCTTTTCCCAGCAAAACCTGCTGTATAAATTATACACACATGCGAAATCCAACTTCCTGCCTGTCCTAGGGTGACGTTAGGATGCTTGTATCCCCAGTTTTCTATTCTGTTTATGCTGGACATTATGTTCTGTGCCTTCAAGACTGGCTCTTAAATCAGCCTGCTCACTCCCCCACAGTTGGTGGGACACAGAGATGGGGCAGTACTTAGAGCTGGTTTGTTTTGGCTTAGGCTTTTTGCTCTTGCTCACCTGGCTCTTGCTGCTGCTTTGCTCTTGCTTTTGCTCCTGCTCATTAGTTAGTTTAGCTAGGCAGTCTGAATTTTCCCTGGACTGCTTTTCTTTCCCTTTCCTTGGAACCACTCGAGCCTGCTCTGGACTGGGACCTGGGAAACACCAAGTCTGCACCTTGTGGCTGCAGCAGCCATTCCCAGTGCCAGAGGGACCGATAACAGAGCGACCACTTCCAGGAGAGCCTTTCTCAATTTGTCATCTTTTTCAGAGCGCTGACAGAGTGTTGTCATCCGGTATTGTTCATTCTGTGTGCTGGGGGGTGCCATGCCTGTTAAATAAACAGGTTCTTTCCACTTCCCTCTGAGGAATCATGTCCGAACTGGTTGGGGGGAAGGGCTGTGTGGGTTTGCTTTCTGGAGGGGCTCCCTTTGGAGGTTTTCTCCCAAATTTGCCCTAAACCAGGACGCTGCCTAACAGGGATTGACAAGTGAAAGAATCTGTAATTACAATACCTCAAATGAAATCTACTTTTGTCAGCTTAAGCTGAGCTCAAATGGCACTGCGGAAAAATAGCAAGGGAAATTCTTTTGATACAGGAGAAATGTCGTCTAGGTGCATTGAGGAGCTCCCAGCCCTCTGCTCACCTTGATGGCCTCTACAGAGTCGTATTTGTCCAGTTTGTTGATGTGGTTGGTGATGCTGGTGTTGAGCGGAGCGGGTGACACCGGGTGGATGACAGTCGCGTCGTGGGACTGCTGCTGGTACCGCTGGCAGTATGTGTAAACAAGCAGGGTGAGAAGGCAACCGAGGATTGAGCTACTTAGTCCCACTGCGATCATGTGGAACATGTTGAACTCTGCAGAGCGGAGAGAAGAAGGCAATCTTAATTTTGAGGCACTAGCAGTAAAAGCTTCAGCTCGGGGAAAAAAATGTAGACAAGTGTTTGATTCAAATAAGGATAAGGGAATTTTCATGTGTTTCCCTGAAACATCTCAATTGTGATGGTTTATCCCTACAGTAGTAAATTCATTTTACTTCCCTGAAGGGACCATTATAAGAATCTTAGATACCCATACATCTCTTTAAGTAGAGATCATTGAAAGATGCTTAAATAAGTTCAGAACACAAATAAAAGAAAAATTAATTGCATTCCGTATGTTTGAATAGTTAATCGGGGGTTTTTTTTCTGTATAACAGAGCCTTGTTATGTATAAATGATGTATATAGTATACATAAATAGCTTTTTTTTTCTTTCAGTGAACTACAGTATCACCTCCTCTGCTGCTATTACAGTTTTTCCTTTTATAAATAGTGACTCGTGGCAGAACGGAAAAAATCGTGATATCATTGAACCCCATTCCTGTCTTCCATAAACACTTTCCATATCCCTTTTACTGGATGCATGTCCCAGAAGCAGCAGCAGATGTTTTTTCCATCCCTGCTTTAATTCTTGCTGGCTATCATTCTTTTTGTATCTTGGCCAGTTTGTTCCTTTCTCCAGCTCTTGGAATGTTTTCTTTATTTAAAGGGGAGTGAGGAAGAAATGGTAGCATTCTAGGGGGAAATGGGAAGTGGCGAGAGATAGACTCCTTGAATCTCAATAGACCTTTAAGCAGGGCAGCCAGAGAGTGCAAAGTCAACACCTCATAGTCCAGCACCCTCCTATCTGCTCTGCTCTTCACAGGCACAATGGCATCAGACCATGGGCAAGCCTCTCCACCTGCACAAAGACTAAAACTGAGAGGAAGCCCATTGCCGCATGAAACTGTAGGAGGGAACTTAAAGCACAATCATCCCCTGATGTTACTGAACAGAGATACCAGATCAGATATGGAACCAGTAGGATTAGCTCAAAATAAACAAATTGGACTGCTTTCCATTATTATTTCAAACTGGAGCTGTGCTTTTTTATTTACTTTAGGGGAGAAGTATCACTGAGAAGCTCATGGTAGAAATTTCATCTTAGCATGACTGAAACTGTTGCTGCCTAAATGTACAAATGAAGGATTTTAAACTGACATACTGGTGCTAGTCTTTAAAACATCTCTTAGATATTTTTCACTGTGATACAGAAAAATTGGCCAATACATGGGTCTCATTTTTTGTAAAACCCAAGGTTTACAAAACCTTTACATGCCTACTGAGTACTTAGAAACACAAACTAATATTTAGGTGTCTCAGTTGACTGTGTCAATATATCAATCTATCACTAAAATATCCTTCTACGCCTTTATGAGGGTTTCGCAGTGTTGCAAAACTTGGCAAAATGTTTTCAGAGTACCACTGTTAATTAGCAAAAAAATCAAATTACATTCTCTTGGCTCCCATAACGAGTTACCATATGCACAAGTACCCTTTCATAACCTCTGTCTTTTCATTGTCCTTTATTAGGTTAAAAATGCAGCTTATCTGTGCATGGAAGAATACTAGGACTGGCCAGAGCTATTACCATGACGACACAGACTAAGCGTGATAGCTCAACACAGGAAAAAAAAAAGTTCATTTTCCTTCTTCTTTCTTCTTCTTCTTATTGTTTTGTGGTTGTAAAAGTTTTTCCATTCAAGATCTATTTTTCTAGCATCACGACTCTCCAGAATGGAACCTTTCATTTACTTTTCAGTTTTGTCTCTGGCAATGAAGCTGAAAATGAGTCCCAGATAGAGTCTGGGCTATTAAATTTGTTAGCAGGCTGGTTTTCTGCTGTTTATTTGGAGTCTAAAAGAGGTTTGTGCACTTGTTATCCTGAAAAAGGCGGAGCAACAAATTTACAAATTTTGACCTTCTGATAACTAGATTATTATAGATATTTCTTTTTGAGTACAAGGATGACTGCCACACTGACAAAGAAGAAAATAAAAACATCCAATAATGCATGTTCTACTCTCAAAGGTCACCAATGACAGATGGATATTTAATGAGAAATCCTGTAATAACTACATTTTTCTGTACAAGTAACTACTTTTTTCTGTACAAGTGTAAATAATGAGAATGCAGGATTTAGAAGGTAGAATAATACTAATAAGGGAGTGGAAAAGGTGAAACAAAAGCAAAAAATGGAGAATCAATATTTCAGCATTTAACAGACATCTTGGAGCTGAAAAGCTTACCGCCACATCGTTTCTCTTCTATGCTGCTGGATCGTGCCACAGATATTTCTAGAAAAATAAAGAAACCACTTAGGCCAAGGAGAAAAAAATATTACAGAGAACTTCTAGTTAGATTAACACAGAAAGGATTTAAAAATTCATTCTATTATATCCACTTCAAGGTAAAAAATGTTTTTACTATGTGGTGGAATTAATAGAAAGGACCCATGACATCTTCAGGCTCCTTAGACTCCCAAGTAAAAGCAACAACTTATTTTTAATTCTTGCCTCAAAACATCTCTGTAATGAAAAGAATGAAATGCACATGGAAACATTCATTGTGGAGTTGATTTCCTGAAGCAAAATTAACTACAGTTTAATTACCTTGTGTTCAAATGCACTCATTACTTCTAAAAGTCGCATCTAGCACTCATGTGAAAAGTGGGAATTTATATATCTTCAAAAAAGACAACTGCCAATTTCATAGGTCTCAGTCATAATCTAAAAAAATGCAATTCCAGCCTGTATCCTTACCATTTTTACTTTGAAAATACAGAATAAAATCTGCAGGTTTTTATCAAGTTTTTCCACTTCTTACTTCCAGACCATGGTTTCTATGAAGGTAAGTTCTGCCTTAAAAATCAGTCTCTTGAACCTCTCCGAAAGGGTCAAGGATCACTTGTATACAAGTGGGGTAGCTGACACAGTATATCTGATTTCAAAAAAGGAGAATTTTAAGTTTTTTGTTAACATCTTTCCAAGAAAAAAATGAAGTGAGAGAAAAGATACAGAAATGGGTAGTACTAGGTGTCCAGTTCTTACAACAGAGGGAAGTTGCCACTTCTGCAAGGATTAGTCTTTTCAGCCAAGAGCTAGGGAGGAAACCCTTCAGTTAGAAGACCTGGATGAGAAAAAGTGAGCCAAGTGAACCAGAAGGTAAGCTTGATTCACTAAGGTGGGAGTAATGGGCATGACCTGCTGGTGTTACTGATAATGTGAGGAGGAGCAGCAAACCAGAAGGGCAAGTGACAGGGTGGCTTGTTTCAGATTCTGAAAATGCCTGCATTCCAAAATAAGATGTAGAGCTTATATTGGATTAAGCTGCAGATTCACAGAATGTGGATATTAATAGAGCCTCAAAAGCCTTAGAAAAGGGAAAATACAATGTGGGTGTTTTTGCTTTCATACTGACATTTTTCACATTGGTTTCAGAGGAAAATACTATTTGGAAGTCAAAGCATTATGCATCCATAAAAACAGAGTTTAACTTTCCTGATGTCTTTGTTACATTGTACTATTTACTGCATAGTCACTCAAAGAAAAGGTTGCTGCAGTGAATAAACACAGCTGCATTTCAAATGATACATTAAAATGTAATTTTTTCTGCCTGTGAAAAGATCCCTCACTATTTTTAATGTACATAGGGAGAAAGTCTACTGTTAACAGCAGTGCATTGTGACCATCCATACTGTTGTGTGGATTTAAATGACTCCTGTGATTTAAAAACGAAAGTACAGTCATGAGTTTACATGAATACTATAGAATAATACATAATGTGACTATTCATCAGGTACTTAGCAGTCATGGGACATAAGGACTGGAGGCAAAGCTAATAGTATTTACCTTTTTGAGCAGTTATCAAGGTAAGGGACTGTCTGAAATGATTTCCAGATTTACAACCACAGCACCCATTTTGTACATGGAAACCACAAAACCTACAGCAACATTTCTTTAATAATCCTAGACTTAAAATAAAAAGCAAACTATTTCTGCTTACTGTGTGTACTCATCCCCTGCTACCAAGTGGAATGGGAGAGACCTGCAGATTGCTGTGATAGTGACTAACCAAGGCAGTGGCACTGGGTGCCATGGGACAGATTTTTATATAGCACCAGATCTACACAGAGACATCGTCTCTACACAGTAGATCAACATCCCTGCACTGACCGAAGGCAAGTTCTGCTGCAGCTCATGGATCTGCACAGTGCAGTCTGGAACAGTGCTATGCCTTGGTCCTGAAACCTTGAGAGATTTCACTAATCCTTCAAGGAGTTGGCTGATGTGACCTCACCTGGTATAAAGTTGGAGTCCACAGCACAGGCCCGGCTCTCGGTGGTGTTGCCCGTGCACTGGCTGCCCACAGGAAACAAAAGGATGCACTGCCGAGCGCGGGTCTGGAAGCCAGACGAGTCGCAGTCAGACCACTCGGACCACTCGGACCAGCTGTCTGCAGCAGGCAGAGAGGGACACACATGCAGACACTGTGATTAAGGAGTTCAAGTGCACTGAGTGAGAGAGAAATAGCTTCTATTTCTGAGTTAGGACAGAAAGCCTCCTCCCCGGCTATCAACATCTAGCAGAGGGCAGCTCCTTCAGTCCGATAAACAAGGCAGTTTGGCTTTGGCAGAAGTCTCTGAAATGTGAATGCGATGGTAAATTTGCTACAGACATCTCATGGTTTTGGCTTCTGCCATGGCCTTTGTGTATGGAAGTGAGAAGCTGGAGGATTCTGTGGGGGTGACTGAAAGAGTGATAGCTGTGAATTAATTCCAGTCTAGGCCATTACGGTGGACAAGCTCACTGCATTTTTCAAATGTACCTGACCAGTAGCAATGAGAACTATAAGAGTATTCCATTCTGAAACAGGATATGTATTTAACCCCGAAATAGAAGCACCTTGAAGATTTTTTTGAAGTTTTTTTTTCAACTTTTCCTATTTCAGGTTCATTTCTTGGCTGTAGATTCTCATCTTCTCTTCTCCATTCAATTTGTCACCTTCTATTTATTTTCTATATTTTTCCCCTCCTCATGTAGCTTTGATGAAGATATTTTTATTTCATGCCTGCGTGATCTCAGATACTTTCCTTAAATAAAGTGAATTGATCTCATTCCCATGAGGTGGTGTGAGTTTACTGCACTCAGCATTCTTACAACTCAAGGCTGAGCCTTGTCTTCATAGGACTCTTCTGAATTTGGCAAATATAGGGAAGACAGAGCTCAGGTAAACTTCCTTTCTTCTGTCAGCTTTCCCACAGAGATAGGCTTCATGGTTTTGATATGGAATAAATAGTGTCCTACTATTCTAAACCAAACTTGTTCCTACTTCAACATTTTAAGTGATTTTATGCCAATATGAAGCAAATTTACAAATCTCATTTTGGCTCAAATGAAAAATTGTGTATTTTCTAATTTTGAATCAAGTTAGATTGAAAAACATTACAATTTGTGAATTAGTGAAGCTTTTCTACCCTGTTAATCAGGTGGAAAGTCAAGGAAGTTTTACAGTCCCTGGGGCCCCTTCCAATACCTTGTTCCAATACCTAATTCCAGAATGCAAGGTTCACATTTACTCATTACTTTCCCCTTGTTCACATGGGAAAGAAGTTAAAACTTTCAGTCATCTAAAATATAACAGACTGGAGAAGAAATATTTGAGACTGCAGTCTTGAAAAATGCCAAGCAATAACTGTTGATTATTAAATAGATTTACCTAGCAAGTCAGGTAAGAACTAGGATATTGATATTTAATGAACAATTAGTAACTGTCTTGATGAGGCCTTCTTTGAACTACAGGACAAATACCTTGATACAATCAGCTTGTAAGATCTTGTTATTTTGAGTAGCAGAAATACTCAGCTCTGTCCTTTGGTTTTTCTGTCTCCTAGGAAAGGCCCTGGGAGGGGCTCATTTGCAGAGTGGGTACTAGGAGCACAGAGGCAGGTGCTAAAATGTATTTCAATCCTAATTCAGGGGGGTAGGAGAGTTGAGGTGGGAGTCAAGCAAGTGGACAGGCTTCTGCCTGCTTTCTTGCTTAGTGTGGCACATCCAGGAGCTGCTGTTATCACCTCCAGTGTCAGCTGCTAGATCTAAGTAAAATAAGTATATGGATCTTTGCCTTAAATATTTAGTTACAATAAAGCCTTGCTCATTCAAGCTTAAAGGAGTGTTGCCCATTACAAATCTTGGCCCAGTTCTCACTGGTGGCAGAGAGCACACTTAAGCCAGAGCCAAGATTCTTGGCCAGTCCTGGTATAATTGGGATATACGCAGCAGGTGCCAAAATACTTGTGGGCATCCTAAATGTATCTTGTTGGCTGGTGCACTCTACAGCCCCATCTTGTCCAATGTGCTTTTGACCTGACAGACCCTCCGCTGAAGAAGCTACATCCCATGATGAAATAGGAACTTCAGAGTACACAGGGATCATGCTAAGTCATATATGAGTGGCTGGGCAAGGTTACTGTTTTGTCCTGCTCCTTAGGGGACCCATAAAGAAACTTTGTGAGTCCTGCAGTGCCCCCAGACACTACAGGACAGGCAGTCTGTGGGTCTGGTGCCGAGCTGATCAGCTTCATCTGGCACACAGAATCAAAGAGGAGGAGAGGGGGCACATCAGTGCAAGCATGAAACAGAGGGCTGCAGTGGTGGGTCCTCACCAAACCTGTGGCTTGAGGAAGTAGTTGGGAGCTCAGAGAGCTGCAGAGAAATAAGGCACCCAAGACTAACAAATGCATGACTTCAAACTGTCAGATGTGCCATCCCTGGGAAGGTGATCCCACAGCTTTTGCATGTTTTTGCACTGACTCAGCTATCTTGCCTCATTCCTTTGATTTCTGTCAGTTCAAAGTATCTGAGGCTCTCTTGCACCTCCAGCAGACACCTGAACTTTCTCCTCAGTTCTGTGCACAAGTCATGAGAATGTCAAAAAGAGGGTCAACTGGAGAGGTGTTTAACCTGCTGAACTGCTTTTCACCTCTAACATGGCAAGGCTTAAATATGACATGTCATATCTTCTTCCTACAGACTCTTGGCTGGCCTTTGAAGCCAGGTTAAGATAAAGCAGTTCCTAAGAGATCCCTTGGTGAAGGCAGCACTGCCGAAAGATCAGATTAATCAATGTAGAATTTAAATCTCTTTCATGCAGTATTACACCACCATTTCTAAATGCTCAGCTGCTTCGTCCATTATTTGTATGTGTAAGTTACCAATCCAAGGACAGAATGTATTTTCACCTCTTAGAAAAGCAGTAAATACTTAAGGCATAAAATATGTTTTATGCAACTTATTGCAGACACACTGCAACTGGTTACACTTACTGATAATCAGCCACTACTGATCAATACTGCAATACTTCCTTTCATATTGCTGTGATTGCATTTGCATTTGCAAAATTAAAATAAAAACTACAAACTCAATAATAGAGCTTTTAAAATGAAAGATGAAAAATTGATGTGTTTTGCAGACACAAGCCTGTTACTTTCTTTTAAGTGCAGACTTGAATACTTTCAGTTGGATTTTCCATTAAATCCTATATCCTCAACAAATCCTTAGTAGCAGGATTCCAGAAAGTTTCATTTTCTGCTAGTTTTGTTTGGAAAAAAAAAAAAGGAGTATTTCAAATGCCAAAAAATCTTCATTCTTTTCACAACTTAAGAAATGTCATAAATATTTCCATTTTTTGCATATTCATTTCTCTGCTGGATTGTTGTTCTTAGATTCCAAGTGTCATAACTATTCTCTTATACTGAGCATGTCACTCACGCAGTGAATGTCAGCAATTGTGCTTTCAGGTCTGCACAAGGACAAACCACTCTTCACCTGGTCCTTGCCCCAAGAAAATGGCTCTGGAGGTGTTCAGGTACCTCTCCAAACTTGATCTATGAAGCACTGTGGTTATTTTTGACCCATTCCCATGTGAAATAAGAGCAGTAAAAAGCAGTTTTGAAATACATATTGTAAACATGAGCCAAGGACCATTCTCACAACTAATGGATGACTGCTGTTTCAAAAACCTACGGCAAATTTTCAGTGAGATTGAAATATCAATAAAATACTACAGAATGTGAAAAATATATTTTAAGCCTCTGAAATGTTATTGTTTTATAAGAGTTTCCACTTTCTCGAACCAAGATGAATGAAACTAACCTCCTCCTCCATTCTGCATCTACTCCAAAATTTGGGCCACAAGCAGGTCAAAATAAGATGAAGACATTATTTATGAATGTTTGCAAACTGTCATTTATAGGAAAATGGTGGTAGAAAATAAATGCACAACAAGAAAAATAGCTACAATACTAGCACAACGAACATTCCAGCTCTGACCTTTCAAAGATGCCTTAAAGGATTTCAAGGCAGCAATGCGACTTCTGCATACAAATGTACAATATTTGTCTCAAAAAATCAAATAATCAACTGATTTCTATGCTTGGCTTTTTTTTTTTTTAACCCAATTGGAGTTTTTTAAAACACAATCTGCTTTAATTTTGACAAAGTAGGTACTTTTATTCCACTGGAAGATGTGTAGAGAAGGAAAGAATCGTAACAAGTAATATGATCCATTCAAAGTCATGGGGCTTTTGCCCTCACATGCATAGCCTCATCATACAAGCAGAAAACTTTTGCTATGAAGTCTAGGAGCTCTAAGTGAAACAAGTAATATAGTGTGGCATCAGAGCTCCTTTTTTCCTTTTGCTGTTGTCTGTAATCCACTAATCAGCAGTAAATGAAAGTTTATGTAGTTATAATCTTAATTTCTCACTTAAATTTCATTTAAAAATTAGTTTCCTTTAATATGAGTCAAAAGGCAGAGTCAATGTTACAGAAACAGACATGATCCATAATATCATACAACTAGCAGGAGTGCTGAGACATTTCATCTGCTTAGCACTCCACAGTCATTTAAAAAGATCAGGTCTTTGTTCCTTAACATTCAAAGTCGAAGGAGTTTTACAAAGACTATGAAAGTTTTATTTGTGCTTTATATGAAAACAGAGCAAATATTATCTACTTGAAGGACCTGATATCACCTGACTTGATGACACGTGTTGAATATTAACCTCAGCAATTTGCTTGCTGCAAATGTTTGGTGTTGTAACAAAAGCACTTCTTTGTGATATTTTATTAAAAGTCTCATAAACCATTTGCATGGCCCACTTCAAATACTACACAATTTTACTAAATCCAGATTCAGATATAGCAACTTAGATTTTAATTTTTAAAGAGGGAGGAAGGAGGTAGTCTCCTGTAGAACATATTCTGCTAGTACTTGATTTACTGCAGCATTGTAGCACATAAGGGCTGATTGTGCACTTAATAAGGGAGAGAAATTATATGCTCCTGAATAATAGATCAAGGGCATTATGTTAGCTAACTGGGGATGCTTTACTCTGTGGCACATGAAGACCAAAGATGGATGGCCTGACTGGCCGTACCTGGACACGGCTGAGTGTTGCAGAGTGCTTCCTCTGTGTGCAGCCCCAGGCAGATATCCCCTCCATACGCTGGGGCTGGGTTTGTGCAGGAGCGCGTTCTCATGTAATGCCCTCCTCCACACGTCGCTGAGCACTTGGACCAAGATGACCAACAAGACCAGCCTCCATCCACTGAAAAGACAAAGAATACTGTATTTTTCCAAGCTGATGCGAGACATGACATAATCCAGCTCATCTTTCTCATATTCTGTGGATCTAATTCATGGCCTACTGAAATTATTGGATATTTTTAGCTACCACTGAACATAGTTCCCACAAATTTAATCACGATGCAATTTAATTTTAAAAGGCCCTGGTATGCTGGAAAAGTTTAACAAAATTACTCATACACAAAAGACACTTTTAGTGGGTATCATAATATATTTAAGGGCAAAAATCTTTTTTTTTTCTTTTCTCAGTTTTGAGGACACCAAATATACCAAAGCTTGTTTAGCAGGAATATTGTAAGCTCAGAGTGGTTTTTTATTGATTTAAATAAAAGCTAGCAAAAAAATAGCAACAGAAGGATGGAGGAATCCAGAATTTGTTTCTCAACACAGGTGGATTGCCTTAACCACACAACCCACCCATTTCAAATGGTCTAACACAGTTGTAGGATTTGATGGGCCAATATAATGTTCCATTCTTAACACAGCTCTACCATAGATGTCAGAATTTGAAGAATGGTAGGAGCTTAAGAAAGCAACGCACACTGACAAAAAGGAGTTGCCACTTTAAGTTTCTAAAACAAGTCTTGGAAGAATAAATATTATTATTTACCTTCCCCTCCCTTCCTCTTTAGAATTTACTAATTCAAATATGTCAAACTATTCTCCAGTCAGTGTTTTCACAACATTCTTCTGAAGTGTAGGCTGGATTTCATGGGAGACCTATTTGTCATATGGTTTATGACACATGGTCACTAGACAAGATTTAAATAAAAGTTCATCTAATTGCCTGCACCAGTCTGGCTCCTTTGAGTCCCTGTTCTTAAAGCTACTGCTTCAGGATGTGTTTCTGGTATTTAGAGCCACATTGCAGCCCATTTGCCAAAGACTTCGTACATGTAGCCACATGACAAAGTCAGATGTACCTCTCCCAGGGAAGCAATATTTTCTTAATACACCTTCTTTTTTTCTTTCTTCCTTTTTTTGTTTTTAAGAAAAGAGACAAAAACCTAAACTTTCAAAATTTCCATATTCTAAAGAAAAAAAAAATCAATTTCTTTTCTAACCTTTATTTCAAGCATTACCACTTGAATTCTTATGGAAGTAAATTATTTACCCTGCCTTTTTGATCTTCTCTGCTTAATTAACGAAACAGCCTTTCAAGGGATAGTTTTTACTGGTTTACTGAAATGTTATTCCATCATTATCTCTCACCGTAAAAAAAAAAAAAAGTTACAAATCTTAAAAAATTTGATTTTGATATCTGGCCGATATGAAAATATCTATGTGGTATTTGCATTTAAGTTCTTTCTTAGATGGAAATATAGAACATTAAAAAAAATACTCCTTTTGGCTTCGTAGGATTGCATATCACAAATGCACGTGGGCAGTTTAGTAGAACGATTTCTATATGAAATCTTCAACAGTGAGAAAATGAGGAGAATTTTGATAACAAAAAGCTATACATGCATTTTTAATGTCATTTCAGATACAGTATAACTTCAGGTTCTCAACTGCTAATCAAACAGATAATTCCTTATTGTATATCAAAGACTATTTACTAATCTTGTAACTGACATTGTTGAATATACTGCATTTTATTCCCTGCATTCTTTATTTGCAACACCATCCTAAACATCAAGAAAGCATGCACTTGGCACTTCCTTGCTAAGAACTGTAGTTGTGAAAACTCTTGCAACTAATTTATCTGGACTCTGAAGCCTGATTTGACAGACAGGATTTCTGTAATCTAGTACTATATTCCAAGTATGCAATTTAAATAAATTATTGCCATTATTAAGGAATTCAATGATTGCTACATCATACAACAAATCATCATGCATGAGAGAGTTTTATACCACCTATCATAAATAAATACTGTATCTTGGTAGAGTATCTGACTTGTTCTCTTACTCATATTTTTCTTATTCATACTTTTCACTGGAAAACAAATATGTCCTTTTGCCTAAGATAACTCTATTAATGCAGTATTATGCAAACTCATATCAAAGAAAGCCATAGCTTATTTGTCTTCAGTGCAGATGAAATATACTGTGCAATTTTATAACAATTTCAAGACCCAGCATCTTTTATTCAGAACTTGCCTCTTTTTTTCTGTTTTTTTTTTTTTTTTGGTTTTTTTGGTTTTTTTTTTTTTAATTATGTCAAATGAAAGCAGAAGCTGTTACCCAAACTATTTATTTCATACGATACTAAGGCTTTACCTTTCTGGATACTCCCTTTTTCATTCTTTTGTTTTTTTCTTTAGTGTGATCTTTGACTAGTTCAAATGAATGATCAGAGGCATGTCTGCTGCAGCATATAGACCTTCATGAAACAGAATTTATTCTGCCTGAGATTAACTACACAGAACACAAATTGTCTGCAAACATTGCAAGTGCATTGTTCACTGTAATGGAGACAGTGACCCCCAACACTTCCCTACTTATTTTTCAATGGACCAGAGTGAGAATTACAAATGCACCTGCATTTGAAATTGCCATTGATCTACAGGTGGCTGAGAACACAGAGACCGATGCGACACCCAGGAACGTCACCATGTTCCACAACTGCAGTGATCGTGGCTGTACTATGTGGCTTCAGATGTAAAGGGAGAAGTAGGTCTGGGGAAGGTGGGATAGAACAAATATAATAGACAATGTTACATTTGATCCTAGTTGAGCTGGACAGTGCAATTATAACTGCTTGGTTGTTTTGTTTTGTTTTTTGGTTTTTTTTTTAGTAACTATTTACTGACAGGCTGCCTGTAACCTTTCAAGGACTATTGTAACTACCTCTTTTATCTGTCCCCAGAATTTTTTCTTTTCAGCAACAGAGGATAATAAGGCATCATCACTGTTAAATAAGATCAAAGGAGTGGGTATTTACTGCTTGAGTTTTTGCAAGACCTAAATAGAGCTCTGTGGTTTCTTTCATCTTTCTTTAAGTTGCTTAGCAACGCAGCGCCATCTGGCTTTTTTTTTCCTTTTTTTTACTTTTGTCACGGAGCCCTTAATGTCACTTCTGCCTCTTATAGGAGGAAAAATACACAGCAGCAAGGCAAGTTACAGTCACTACAGTTTCTTTACATAACAATTTTGTAGAGATGTTGGACAAAAGAAAGTCATTAAAGTAGTTCCACAATGAAAGACTTAAAGACTCTTTACATTTTCTGACAATTGATGAGGTTTGTCCCTTTAGAAAGAAGGTACTTTTTAGCTAGGAGTGTGCTATCAAACAGTGCTCCTTGCTTTAGAATAAAGCAAACAACATTTTCCCTGCTGGCTTTTGCTGAGGTTAATAATTATTTCTTCACTGTAATGAAAAAAAAACACACCATAGGGAAGAGGATGTGCCAGGAAGAAACAGTGTACAGAAATGGGATCTCCTGAGGACATGACAAAACATCCACACAACTGGAGAATTTCCAAGAGACAATAAAGTAAACTGGATAAACTTGTAAAACTTAGGATTTTACAACAAGCGTGGGCAGACACACTGACCTCACCTGCTTTCATGAGAACACAGACAGAATGGTAGGCTCCTTTATAAGCTGTCTGCGTGTTGGGCAGCCTACTACTCCCTTCCACACACCTGGGGATCACCCCATTCCACATCACTTAGTCTACTGCTTTTTCCCAGTCCTGTGGGATACTGCTGCATGTTTCAGGGTGGGAAAGGAGCAATTTTTACATCATAGTTTGCAAAGGCAAAGTCTTATTTCTGTGATACCTTTTATTCATAAAAGCAATGTTGGATGAAACAGTCAAAATAGTGCAATGCAGAAACACAAGGCAAACAAATGGTTCTAAGAAAAGAACAATAACAAAATCTAAGGGTCCACTTGGGTTTAAACCTGTGAGTGAGACTTTTAAGTCAGAAAACCAACAGTTGCTTCAAAAAGCAGTACATCCCTCTTCTTGCTGGCTACAGAAGCAGCCTAGAGAGATCAGTGCACATTATGAGAGGGGCATCAGCCTCCATTTACTGAAGTATTTTTTTTTCCTTCTGATTTATAAAGATATTGCAGGATAAATTTTATTCTCTTAAATACATTTTTGTTTTCTTGTGGCCAAGTATGAGTTCAAAGAAAAAATAATAGGAGGAAATGAAAACAATAAAGAAGAAAAAAAAATAAAACCAATAAAAAGCAACTAGCTTTAGGGGATGCATAAATAACTTAAATAGTCTTTCAGGGATTTTTGTATATCTGAAACTCATTATTGTTATTAGCAAGTTTAGTGACACATGAATTTATTCAGATCTTCTCAGCTAAAATGTCACAACTAAAGTAAACTAGAACTACAATAATAAAAATCTGAAATTAGTAAAATCCCAACATATTTTCATGAAGTATCAGAATTTCAAATCTAGGAGATGGCAACTGTCCTTTCCCTCTGATCCTCCACCATTGCCCTGAGGAGAAGAGAGAACTCCTGTAACTCATGCTACTCAGTGGTGCTCACACAGCTCTGCTTTAAATGTCTGATTAAAGCACATCTCCATGTCCCTATGCAAAGGAATATAAGAGAAGGCAACAAGAAACAAAACAGAACACAAATGAAGAAAAGTTGTCTTTTTCTACAGAAATAACTGAAGAGATGTGCGATACTGTGAACTAGGACAGTGTTCTTTAGGTTTGGTTGTATTATTGTCATGGAAACAGATCTTATAGTCAGCAAATTCCTGCAATTTTTGTAGATTTGCAGAATTTATCATTCAAAAAACACTTCTCTTCATCATCGATTTCTCTTCATAATATAAATATCTTGCAAACCCCCCAAGGATAACAAAACCCTGATATGGCTGATTTTAGATTCATTATTCACTGCAGATTAGTAACTCAAAGAAAACAGAAATGTCAGTGAGCATTCACAATTATTGAGGCTGTTTAGTTCAGTTCTTGCCAGTTTATTGCTATTCACATCTCTGAGACATAAAAAAAGAGCTGAGGCACAGGTTCAAAGCCTGTGCTTTGAACATTCTCTAGTGCAAAACAATAGTTCAAAATCTCCTGCCCCTCAAAGTAGCTTACCCAGATGGAAACAGTACTTTATGAGCATGCCTTTACACTACTCTGGCTCACAAACTATTTCTGCAGCTGATTTGTGAGAGCGATAGTTAGTTGAAGGCATAATTATATGAGGGAATCATTCTAAAACTTGAACAATATGGACAAATCATCTTCCAGGACTTGGGTACAATTTCTGGCAATTTTCTGGCACTGTTCAATTCACTAGTATATATTCAGCCTTCAAATACTATGAGCAAAAGGCCCAGTGACTGCTACCAATCTGCCCATCAGTGGACCATTTACTACTGCAGAAAAAAATACAGTTTCTCCCCTGCAGGCTTAAAAAATGTTTAATAGAACTTGCTGAAGGCAGAGTCTAGATGACTTCAGTAATGTTTTGAAGCTCTGGGATCCTGCATTCAACTATCAATTTCTGTTTATTAATATATTAATAAGTATATTTAAGATGCTGAAAGGGTTGCAAGACAGTTAACCAGACAAGACAGCCTTGCAGACTTTGATTGCTCCATGGGCTTTTTCATTGTGTTAGTCCTTCAGAGCACTTAGTATCTTCCAGGATGACACTGAGCCTAGATTAATTCTTTGAGAAGAAGCATTAAGTCCTACTGACTTTCAGCATGACTTAAACACTGCTCAATATACTTCTCTATTACTCCCCTTTGTCAGCAGTTTACATCATGAGAGGTTGATCCTGCCTGCAATAAGCAGAAGAGGAAGCAAAGCAGAACTGGGCTTGCAGTGGCAGGAAAGGTCCTCTATGGCTTCCACCACACCTCTGCCAGCTAACCAGAATATTTCTGGAAGTGTAATGAATGGGCTGGACTGTTACTAAAGGGTTCTGTGCCAGAAGGGAGCAGGTGAAGCTGTCCTTACCCTGGAAGAGCTCAGGAAAATCTTAGTACCAAATTCTTTATTGCAATTTTGCTTCTAATACTATGGAAAATACTTTCAGGTCAAGGTCAGAACAAAATGACCTCACATTCCTTAGCCTTTCTGTCTCTTTCATTAAAAATTACGAGAATTCAAATTTATTGGTGTGCTTCTCCAGTAAGAATTTATTTCCTTCCTACAATGTCTAATTTATGGGTAGGCCTTGTTCTGCAATAATATTTTACTCTCCCATGTCTCAAAAAATCAATTACATCTGGTGCTTGCAAAGTTTTCCCTTCAGATTTATCTGAGATCTGATTCAGTCTCCTATGCTTTTTTCTTAATTACTGGCAAACAGTAATTCTGTAGCTGAGGAACTTTGTGATTTCTTGTTGCAGGCTTTGATACATCTAAATACTTCATTCATTCTCTACATCTTCATTCAAATTTGCTTTGCACTGAAAAGAAAAATAAAACTTGTCTCTAAATAAAATTTTTAGATAGATTAGGGCACTGCTTCTTGCTTCAGAAAGGCCCACCACACTTTATATCAACTGATCTTTTAAAATATTTTCAAATTCAAAGCACAGTTTTAACTTCTGCTTTAAAATTATGGTTTTTAGTCTGGGGCATTGTCTATCTCATAAACAACTAGGGCATCTACAACAAACTTATAGGTATGTTTTACTGGTTAAAACAATTTCTTTAAAAAAATGTTACAGTGAATAGCTGCAGAGCTTATTAAAAATACCACTTCTGAAAAGTTTTGACTAATTTAAACTTTAAAAAACTCCCCAGAAATTCAAGACAGCATTTAATTTGAAAATCAACAGCAAGGGCTGAACAACAAATCTAGCCGAGTATTATAGACAATCTGTGTCCATTTAATGAATGTATTTCAGTTACTACAGTATGGTGATACAATCAGGTATGTCAGAGCTTGTGAGCAGTGTTGGTACTTTACATCTCACCACTCATGTGCTTCAAAGGAAGCTGAGGGCAGTGTGCTATGGAGAGATTCCCTTTGCAAGGGAACAGGAGCCAGTGAGGAGTTGCTATGTTTGAGGTTGCTTCACCTACTGCATACATCCCTGGGGAGGTTTGCACACATTGGTACAATGGTCCTCTAAATCTTTGATTTAATGAATTACTGCCAAACTACTCGAACAGTGCAGTTACATGAAACAGAATTGTTTGTCATTTTATTATCCCAGAAAAGCAAGGTGCTGTGATTCCAGTCTGGCAACTAAGGAATCAGATCACGCACTAGGGCTGTGCCCACACGGAGCAGACTTGGACCAAAATTTCCTAATTCTCTGAAAAATGTTGGCTCCCTGTTGGTTCCCTTCCACCTCTCTCCAACAGTGCTTAGTGTAGAAAACATGGACACCCTTCACTGGTCGTGCCTCTATGCTCAGAAAGAAGCTTCACCTCTTCCCTTGATCTCTTCAGACTCCCAGACAGAGAAACTACAAAATGAGCAACTGGAGCTTGTATCCAAGCTCCTCCTTGGATACAGCAAGAAAATTTCACCAGAAAACACTGGCTGGTTCTGCCCAAGCGTCTCTTTTGGAACTTCAATGGCTCAGTGGGTGTTTCCCCAGATCAAAACAGGGATCCTCAACAGAAATTCCCCATGGATCTGCCCCACCAGAAGGAGAGTTGGGGACTTGAGTGCCTCAGGGAATTCAAGTTTTCCAACAATCCTGCTGATCCTGTTAGCAATAAAACTGCAAAAGAAATTTGCTTTCAGTGAACAGCCAGAATGTTCACAGAGCTGCTGGGTTTGTAGGCTGTGTGCCAAAACATAGTGCCCAGGTTCAATTCAAGATGGAAACATGTTTTTCAAGAAGCTGTGTCCTCCTGAGAGGGAAGTGTTTTCTGGACAGTTCTGCTTAAATTCTGATGCAAGGAATAAACAGTGACTGTTAGAGGGCTTTAAAAGCTTAGGGAAACACTGCAAAAAGATGGGCAAAAATACTCATATTATAAAAACCAATGTATCCATGATTTCAGGAATACAGTTTTAATTTGAAACCATATCTGTATATGTTAATACACATATATGCTTTAAAATAGTGTTACACATACATAGCATGTATATTGCCACAGAATTTGTTCAGGTCCACACTTGAAAAAATGACAAAATCTTCAAGTTTTCAACAAGAAAATATGAAGCACTGCTATACATAATTAATACAATTAAAGATGTATGAAAACTTATTTCTAAACTTATTTGTTGTTGCTGGAAAGAACTGAGTCATTCAGTCTTCTTTCCTTCTTCCTCTCGATTGCTTCTTACCTTGTATTTTCTCTTCCTATACCAATAGCACCTTCTCTCCATGTGTTCTCCTATATCTTTCCCCTTTCTTTTTCCACAAAGCCTCTGCAAAGCTCAAAAGCCTTTCAGTTTAAGTGTTTTTTTTTATGAAGGGTGAGATGTGACTGAAACCAAGACTTTTTTTTCCCCCTAGGTTGGAGATACAATAATGATTTTTAATCCAGGGTAGTTTCTTGTAAACATATATTCTGCTTGTAATCCCTTTCATGGAATAACAAAACAACTTTAAATTAAGGAGAAACTCAAGACTCTAAGAACAATCTTTATGGACTGCTTGAATAATTCGGTGATCATAAGGTGGTGAACCTTCTTTGCTGGCAACTCCACACTTAACAGCTAACACAGATTTAATGCCTGCAACCACTGTGATGAAAATACTATATTGAGTTTAAATAAAGACTAGGCCAGATTTAATGTCTTGCCAGAAATCTTATGCCTTTTTTTTTTCCTATAAGTTTATATACTAAAATTATATTTTTAGAGTCAGTCTCACAACTGAAAAAATATATAGCTATTAATACCCTTGATGATAAATTTATTGACATCACATGGGAATATTACCCAAATCCACTCACATTATAAAGGTATGTTTGAGCTGTAATTGATTCAGGAACCAAAACAAACCCAACCACACCAACTAAAATAGGAAAAAAAAAACCCCAAACCAAATATGGAAGATATAAATTTGAGGATGAGTTATTTTGTTTTAACTTCTTTAATTTCATTTGAAACTTACCTGGGCAAGGCAAAATGTTGCATTCCTGGTACTCTAGAGATGGGCCAAGGCAAGGAAGTCCCCCATACTTGGGCTCAGGATTGCTGCAGACCCGTTTGCGATTCCGGATACCTCTACTGCAGTCACGGCTGCACTGAGACCACGGAGACCAGGGTGACCAGGCACCATTGATGGTATGAGCAGAGTATCTTCCAGAACGCAGGAAGTCCCCTGACAATCCTAAGGAAATAAGGATGGAAAAAGTAATACTGGATTAAAACAGTATCTCATCTCAAAACAACCTTTTCCTCTTCAAATTTACTCCTAGGTTTCAATTAGTAATGAATAATATATAAATAATATGAACAGAAGGGTCCTGTCCTTTAGTCTCACAATTCAAACCCTAGTTTCTTCTCAAGAATCTTTTCTTTAATAGAAATTTCATAATCACACAGAACTACAGTGAAGAGTTGGATCCAACATTTCAGTTAAAGCTTTATGGCTGCAATAACTGAACTAGACAATTTAGCCCACCTAAGAATGATAAAAATTACCTCTCTCTTGCACAGGAATTACCATCAGAAGATCTCCAAATATATTACATAAATATAATTGCCTCTGTTTTACAGGAAGAAGGTGACAAAGGGGACAGGATTGAGATTCCTGTGATCGCTCAGTGAGCCAGCTCCCCTGGTCCTCCTGCAGGGCTCTTGCTCACTTAATCCACCCAGCCTTCACTGCTGCTGGCTGTGCACAGAGGCTCACGGGTATCTCATGCACTGTACTTACCCTAGACATATTCAGACTTTAGATAGTATCCACTAATAATTCCACAATGTCTAGCAAAACTACCCTTTTGTGAAAGGCAATGCTTAGCAATTTAAAAAGCAATTTATTTTCCACTGAGTTGAAGTGTTCTAAGCCACATATAAGCTATGGAAATCAGCCTTTTGGAGACACAAACACACCCCACAGAAAATTCCTTTTTAATTAATAATCATCTGGCAAGTAGAAAACACATTTTCTAAGGAAGTTTAGTACAAAGAAAAGGCATTAGATTAAACAGCAATGGATGAAGTCTGCTATTTATCAGTGAGAGGGGACACACAGATCTTGTGCACAGCATCCAACCAACGGATCTGGATATAGCCCTGGGTGAAGTTCTAATAATCTGCAGTTCATTTGAGTATCTCTGTCACTTTGGGGCTTGATCCTGCAGGTGAAAAGACTCCCTCAACTGTACTAAGCACAACACTGAAATCACTCTTGAGTTGTAGCTTTACCACTTAGCATCATTACTAAGCATCTCCACCAACACTGCTGGCATTTCCTACTGTTGCCAAAGCAGTTCACCTTTCCTAGTGGAAACTCAATGATTGATGGACCGATAAATGCTGCTTTTATTACGAGTGCCTATTTAAGTAGCTGTGATGAGAGAAGGTCCTGTGAATGGCACTTCAGCCAGCAGAGGATGTGGCAGACTCTCTATGCTAGAGCTTCAGTATAAGTACAGATGAATTGCATCAATGGTGGAGAAATGCAGGGGGATTGTTGGCAGCTTTAATTGCAGCACAAATGTCTGTTCTTAAGAAATTGTTTTGTGCCCTACCCACAGGCATAGGCACTGTGGAAGTATGAAATGGAGATAGAGAATCAGAAGATTTACTGAACGATGCCATGAAAACAGACAGAAATAATGCTGTGAAGAGTCTGCCCAACAGCAGTCCTGCACTGAACAGGAGCAGCCTTCTCATAACCATGATGGAAGAGCCTCTTATTTGCAGTGTCCACCCTATTTCTACCCATGCTTACAGCATTAGTAATACTGCTTAACTTCTTCCCCAAGAAATACATTCACAATCATCCCAAAGTAGATCCCAAAGAGGGTTTGCATGTTTTTATTCAGCGCTTGATAAAGTGCAATATTGGAATGATGATGCACTGACATAGAAATACTGGTAATAAGAAACCGCTGAAATTAATAAGAAAACAGCAGAACTGCAGTATAAAAATTACTAAAAATGGATAAAACCTTTCAGGAATTATAGAGGGTAACTATTCCTCTCCTGCTGAGCCAGATTCTATTACACAGATATTAAAAGCAGCATTTCAAAAAACATGACATACATTCAAATGCAAAAAGGGGAGCAAGTACAGAGGAAGAGAATGTGATTTATGAATACAGGTCCACTTTCCTGCTCTGTGAGATCCTTTTTATGCAATTTTCTATCACTCTGGTTCTGGTCATGGCAATTCTCAGCTTATGTACACAGTGAGCTCTGAGAACAAAATAATAATATATTTAATGGCAGAATTCTAAATCAAGGGGGTATTTAAGCTATTAAATTAAGAGCAATGCAAACAATGACAAAAGCATTAATCAGACCAGACTGCCAGCCATTCCATTCATAAATCACTGCAGGGTGTATCACTTTGTGCCGGTCAACCCATCACATACTTCATAAGAATACTAGCATATTTTGAAGATATTTTTGCAGGATATGTGTCGCTTTTTAAGTCCTAAGAAAAATGTGCAACCTTATCTGACAGTATGGTGTTAGACTTCTTGTTATTTAAATTGGGGACGGGGGAATGGAATCTTCTAAGGGAAAGCTCTAAGGTATTTTAGCTCTGAAACAGAAAAATATTCCAAAGAATCTTTTCAGTGTGGAGTTTTGTCTGCAGCAAGTGTTCCCTTGAGTTTCCTTCTTTCCAAAGCATTAAAAAATTTATTATAAGGACCAGTCTTTTCACAGGTTTACAGTAGTTAATAAAGTGTTCATAAAGGGGCTTTTAGAATTTTCTCTTCAGACAGAAACTACACAATAAAAAATTAACATTATGTCATTAACATCATGAAAAGTGACAAGATCAGTTTGCATTCTGGAAATACTGTTCCATATATTCCTTAAACAACATTATGGCCTTTTACAATGAGGGGACAAGGTGCACAGATGAGGGGAGAACAGTGGATATTACTTATCTCAACTTTAGTATTGGTTTCAACACTGACTCTCATAACTTCCTGCTAGACAAGTCAACAAAGTATGAGCTAGATAAATGGACAGTGCAGTGTGTTGAAAACTGGCTGAGCAGCCAGGTCCAGAGGACAGTGATCAGCCATTAAGAGGCTAGCTGCAGAAATTCACAAGTTTTAGTCCTGCTTAACACCATCATTAATGACCTGGACAAGTTTGCCTTCACTGTGAAGACTGGCTGATACACCAAAGGGTCATGTCACACTTTGACAAGGCAGAGAGAAACCTCATGGAGCTCAGCTGGGGAAAATGCAAAGTCCTGAATCTGCACAGGAATGACCCCATGCAAACATACTTTGAGGCCAATCGCCTAGAAAGCAGCTCTGCAGAGAAGGTTGTTGGAGTTCTGGAGGACAGAAAGATGAATGTGAGCCAGCAATGTGCCCTTGGGGAAAAGAAGGAGTTTGGGTTACATTGGGAAGAGTTTTTCCAGTAGGTCAAGGAAGGATCCTTCCCTTCCACTCAGCACTGGTAGAGAGCCCATGTGGGGCTCTCTGCATCCTTCAGCTGAGAATTCCTGTTTATTAACTGAGGTGGGAGAGGGTATGGGAGGCAATATAAAATTAATCAAAAGATTACACTGCAGAATTTGTTCAAGAAAAAATTCTTCAGAAAGTAAGTGTATATACAGCACCCAGTCCTAGCCCTATCACAGATTACATCAAATTTGACAGGAGAAGGCAGAAATAGAAAAGCATTGTAATCTTTCAGAGCAAGAGCACAAAACTGAAAACTCCAAATTATCTCGTTAAACTGTGGTTTTCTTGCTTGCTGCTTCTGTTTGCAGTTTGGGCCACTTTCAGATTGCTCTACATCCGACACCAGAGACAGAAACCAGATTGTGCCATCCAACAAAATCCAATATTAAGCTGCTTTTCTCAGCTTATTGCTCCCAAGATAAATATATATAGCCAAATCAGGATGCAATGGCCAATGCCTTTGGCATGGTAGCAGCAAAAGTCGAGTTGCCAAGACAAAATCTTAGCCCTCCTTAATTAAAGCCCATCTATAGAAATACTTGTAAGATCTGCAAAGAGAATGACCAGTCACAGTATCGTCAATAAACTAATGACTAGCTTCCCCAAGACAGACAAAACATCTGTAAATGAAATTCCAATCCAACCTTTATGACAGGTTCATCATTCAAATGTTTTAAACTAAATTGTTCTCAGAAAGGCTATGACTGACTTAAGAGTCCTGTGAACAACTAGAAGCATGAATTCTGCTTACAGGTTACCAAGAAGCTCATTTTCAGTTGTTCAGAAGTCATAATCCAGTAACAAACTGTTGCACACTGTGGCTAGAAAAGGGGATTTAACTACTTGATCCCAGTACAATTTCAAAAAGCAGCTGTGCTTCCCTAAGGTGAAAAGTTCCACAAGTAACAGCAAAACAAGTACTGCAAAAACTTCAGTAAAAGCCATCACAGTGATTTTGTGGACAAAATAACCATCAACTTCTAAGATCATGGAAAACAGAAGATATGAACTGACAATTAAACAAAAGACTTTTCTCTCATTTTAAGCACTTCTACTTTGTTCAATATCAGTAAAATTACAGATAAATTAGTACTGCCCTGCTGATGATTTACTTATTCCATAATGCAAAATAACTGAAAACAATTGCCTAACTAATTTACATAATTCTGACATAAACCAACATGATTTGATTATTTATAAGTACATTTTTAAAACTTTTTGGTTGAACTGAAATAGCTTCATAAATACACAAGAAATTAATTCTGTCTGAAGACACATTAACATGAAAGTCACCTGCCCTGACTAGCACAGGAGAAAAAATTTGCCTTTGCAAAAGTTTGTAATGAGACTTTGGTTAGCCTAATCCTGCTTGAAAACTGCAACACTCTCAGCCAAGTTCAATTAATTTGCCTTAAAAGTGAGGCTCTATTAAAGCACATAGTTTAATAATAATTCCCTAGTCTAGCCTGTAGCTAAGTAATACAGCCCTAAGTAAGAGAGAAGTACTGTGACACCTGATAAATTATATTACTTAACTGATTTATGACTTATGTCCTCCAGTTCCGACCTAACAAAGAAAATTCAATTATCCAAGCAGTCTAGGTTCATGACTTTAAGCAAAGATGATCTGAAGCCAAAATTCAGGTATCCTGAATCATTTCTAAGTGATAGCATGAAACACTGCTTGAAGTGCAGAGGTAACAAAGATAAGCAAAGATTGTTTCAGTGGTGTCACTTTCTGAAGATAGTCTGCAAGTTATTTGACAATATTATTGAAGCATAAAATTTATATAACTTCAGGCCTAAATACCTATAACTTATAAAAAAACTTTATAAACCTTCAAAACATAGTAAAATTGAAATAGTAAAATGTAATGGCAAACATTGATGCAATGTAAAGACGACATATTTAAAAAACCCAGAGTATGCAGATGGATGATAACTTTATTTCTTGTACATAGCTTTTCTGTGTTTAAGTGTTTAGCCCCAGAGTTCCACTGAGTTGGACTTTGTCAGTCAAACTTGAATTTTTCATCAAATTCAGTTCTAACTTCCAGAATTCATTTTGTTCTTATTCAGAATACTACAGCTTAGCTTCAGTATGACAGCATAAGAGATAACATCTCAAAACATACTCCTCCTGACTACAGGACATTCCTGATTATCAGCACATGTTCTATTCTGTAAAAAATTCTGAATGCACTATAGATTTCCTGTGGGTAACACAATGAAAGATTTAATCAAACTTTTCACAAGAGATCATAGTCACTAGAAGAGTAATTCAGACAAAATCACATCCTGCCTTCACAAATAACTATTGTTATGAGGTTTGAGATAGAGGAAGCAGCAACAACTAGGAATCTAGGTGCAGATTTCCAGGTGCCTGGGAAAAAAAAAAATCAAACAGAAGACTCTTTAAGACGGAAATGAGTGAAAATAGAAGTATTGCCTTTGGTAACTGCCTTCAGAATGTAGTTTGGATGTTAACCTGGTCTCACTCTGGCCATGTCAAAGTCAAGTGTCTTGTCTAAGCCCACCATTGCTGTCTGCATTGTACACCATGGAAAGAAGGCACTATCTATCTCCAGAGGGTGGACTGCACCCTTTATATCAGATGCTTATCTTCAATGGATCCCTCATTTCTCAGGGTGCTGAAGTTCTCTTTGTAGAGTACTATAGAGTCCAGACTTTGGTAAGATAAATTCAACTTAGAAATATCAGGCAACATCATACCTTGTGAAATATTTATCCCTAGGTTAAAAGATTATCTTTTCAATAAAATTATTCCTGTTTATATATCAGATAATCTTACAGAGTGCCAGCATGTTTAATGTAGATATTTAATGTGTTTCCTAAGCACATATTAAAGCCTAGGGTAAGGTAATTTCTATACTCTGAATGCTGGATTGCATAGACAGTGCATTAAGATGTACACCAATGTACACAGTCTCTTACAGTTTATTTGAAATAGCTGTGTCTTTCCTATCTGAGCACTACATGAAAACCCAGAGGCAGGGATCAAGATTTATTTTTCTTTCCTCCTAATCAAACTTCACATCAGAAAAGCATGAATACAGTCTGCAAATGCTACTGCTTACTTGATTGAGATAGAAATCTTACCACACTCAGGAGGAGTCTAGTGGGTTTCTGGCAGAAGTTCTATCTCTAAGCTCAGACTGCAAAGAAAGTTTGCTTTGCTAGCATCTGACAGTGAAACATGATTCTGCTTAACACGGCGTGACTATAGTTGCACAGTGGGAGATTATAGGCAATGAGAAAATTTCTAACAAATGGCTCCTATCTCAAGGAACAGAGAACTGATCTCTCCAGAACACATCTTTGGTAATGAGGTATGCCAGGCACTCTGTACCAGAATTAATCTTTCTGTAAAAGCCAGAAAACTGCTACAATTCAACATGGTGATAATGAAAATAATGTTTCACAGCATCCAGGCTCTGGTCAGGTGGAAGTAAGTTATGATGTTTTCTTGCTATCTAGCCAGAAATGGTGAAGGTGTCTGCCACAATTCACGGTTTCCCATTCTCATGACTTCCCTCTGTCCCAAAAGCTACAGCTACTCTACATGACTCTTATTCACGTGTTTTCCTTCAGTGAAATCAAGGAGCACTAGAATGGTGGTGTGTTGGCCGCATCTAAACCTGGGAGCAGGGAAGTGCTCCTGGATCCTGCAGTTTAGATGCAGTCAGCAAGTTTCATCTCATCAGCAAATCAGAATTGTGCCCCTTCACCCCTCCCTCAACAAATGTTCTACTCCATACTGTTCTGACATCCATAATCAGAAAATGACTAAGCAAACAGTCTCAAAATATAATGTGCTATTTTCACCAGAAGTGTATTGGTTAATGCAGCCACTTGGAACACCGATCGAGTTTCACCTTTCATTACAGAATAATTAAAGATTCTCTGGCCAAAAGAATGAGTGCAAATTAATGACAAAGCCATAAGGGCACTTACTAGGAAGAACAGACAGATGTATAATAGTTTCTGCCCTGTCAAGTACTCAATAAAAAGTACTTAAATATTCAGTAGTTTTGGGATTAGTCAGCAAAAATCCTTCACCCAGATGAACATTTCTATTACTATGCAACAGGGCTGGGGTCATGCACATACATTGCTCTAGTGATGAATTATTTCCAAATGAATCAAAGCAGCAGCTTCAGCAAGATGCAACAAAAAAAGTACAATGCCAGGAAATTCAGGAGTATTATGTTCAGAAAGAAAAAAAAAAATCTTTCTGAGCTAATCAGGCAAAAAATGCACCGGAAACACCATCCCCACGCCCACCACTTGCACACTGAAAAAATGCTTTATTTAACAAATTTTAGGGATTGTTACTCCTGCCTATATTCTGCAAGAGTCAGATTATGCATCCAGCTGCAGGAGAGGCCTTATGATTATGACTTCAGAGCTGAGAGACATGTCTCCATGCCAAGTTTGAATTTCTCACAGCAACGTGACCTATAACAAACTGGCACTTCTCTGGTTTGCCCCTCTGACCTCCTCTCTTGTCATGCATTGGCTTTTGTATACCCCTTTCTTACATGCTGCCATTGCAGCTGTCGGACCAGACTATGCCTAGATTCTCCTGTAGCTTTACTTTTACTTGTGATAACTTTCCCAAGTCTGCACTACCTGGTGAGGAAATATTCTCTTTCTCATTTAATCTCATGAAATTTTAAACACATATCATCCATGTTTAAGTGCTGGAAGACAGCAAAAAGCAGCAGCACCACCTTGAAGTCTCATTAAGGACAAGAGACAGGTCATACACCAATCCTAGCAGAGCAAAATCTTTGCTCAATAAAGTCTGAAATTTAGTTTGGATGAAAATCAGAATGGAAGAAACACTTGTGACAAGAGTTGCTCCATGCCAAAATCTGCCTTCTATCCAGACCTGAGTGAAACCCCAACATTTGACACTGTAGATTATCTAAAATGGGAATGATATAGAGCACTAAACTAAATCTTATCTGGAGTACGACTGGTTTTGTTTTATGATTTCACACACTTCACTACTGTATATTTCTTCAAAAAATTGCTAACATCCTGCCCCCTCCAAAGACACACAGATGCCAAGTGAAACAATAAAGATTTTGTAAGGGATGAAGGGCGGGTGGGGGGGTGATGGGGGGAGAGAATGGAAGTTTCTAGCATATTATCACAGAAGCCAACTCTGCAGCCTCCCCCGCTACCAAAACCTTGACATGTAAACTTAGTACAGGCAGGAGCTTAAAACTGACTTTCACAATAGTTGGTCTGTCTGAAGAATACTGAGAATCAGAAAGTTCAGGAACTCAGAAACTGTTCTCTCTTTGTGGTCTTAGATAAGCCAAATGCCTTCAGTTATCCTTTTTCTTTTTTTTTGCAGCTAACCTGGGTCTGGTGAAAATACAAAAGACTATGTAAGTGGAAAACAGGCCTAAAAATATTCAAATATAATAATATAAGAATCAACATTTTTAAAATTATATGACTAAAATATAATACTTAAAAAGATACACTGATATACATGGATGATAAAACTAGGTAATCAAAGAAATGCATTTATAAAATTAGAATGACTGTCACAATTTCTCCTAGTTTTAAATTTTTACATATACAAAACAATGTATTACTGATAGGAAAAGAAGAAAATTGTGAAACAAAGTAATTCCAATTTAAAGTCACCTAAATTTGAAAAGATTTTGAAGGAGTTTGGTTTTCAATCTCAGAAATAAACAGAACTTTCAATTAGCAGCAAAAGCACAACATAAACTTTTATAAGACAAATTATCCAGTTCATAAACTCCTTATTTATTTAAACACCTGTATGAATCTTACAGTTGTTACTTTCAAACTACTGAGAAAAAGTTCTTCTTAGAATATTCCTATTCTAGAATTCTAGAGTATTCTAGCAAAATATTCTGGAGATATGTTAATGTTGCACAATTCACCCCTACTAAAAGCTCAGGGGGTTAACAGAATCTTACAAGATCAGGATTACTGTGAAGAGTGTAAAATAACCTGGCAAATCCCATAACTGGTGATGAAAGACACTTGCTTAGTCTGAATGATGATGCTACATCCAGAAAAATACAGGCTAGGCTCCCTACTGGGAACACTATGCCCTCCTTTTCACTATCAGTTCTGTTACACACAACACCAGCAAGCAGAAACCTCCACTCCCAGCTGAAAAGGGCACTGCAGGCACGTCACTAGCAGGGGGCACGGTGAGCCCCTCTGGCTTTGCTCACCGTCTGTGGAGCACCCGCTGGTGCCGTCGCTGGAGCAGTAGCGCATCTCAATGCGCTGCCGTCCCACCTCCAGCAGGTTCGGGTCAGGCAGGCGCGCTTTGCAGGTGTATCGGAAACGCTGCTCGTAGTGACCACCGTTGTCCGAGATGTTCACCGGGGTCCAGGGCGTCCAAGGAGTTGTCTTTTTTAACTCTGGGCAGGCGTTGGTGTTACAAGGCTGATATTCCTGAAAGAAAAAGGTCATCATAAATATAATCATCAAATATAATCTTAAAAACACCCCAGAAATACTCAGACAAAAAGACAACCCTTTTAAAAAACATCTTTGGATATTTTTGCAACATTTCTAATAGCATTGATTATCAATTTAATATCAGTCTCAAGCTGAAAGTGTTTTTTCAGCTTCTATGCAAGCACAGCACCACACTGCTAAAAGCAACAATATATCAGTACAAATTAGATCTATCACATCCATAAAAACAGTAAATCAAGCACTCTAAGTACCATAATCAAGCATATCCTTTATAAATTAATAGCCCCAAGTAAGGTGAAGCTAAATATGCTAAAGCTTTTCATTAAGAAGAATTCTAATAAACTGCAAGTACATGTCACAAACTGGCAAATAATTCCTTGGTAACGTCTAGTGGCATATGAAAAAGCAAACCACTGCCCATTTTGTATATTGCTTACATACTTCAAAAGGGACAACAGATAAAATATGTTTTATATTACAGATTCTGGCTCCCTGAGGTGCATGTTACTCATAGCTCCAGAACTGCTAAACCTATCTTCAGAAGCAAATTCCCTGTGGAGTGACATGCATTAAACAGAACAGATGACATTTAAGAAACCAATGCAGAATTGCCAGTATTCTCACAAATGCAGACTTGTCAGTATTCTCAAGCCCCACAATCTATATCTTCTGATGAGTATCATCAAAGTCTGTAGGTCCAGCCTATTCATGTTCCAGAACAAAATATACTTCATCTGATGTAAATTCTCTGTAAAATATATGGATGAAATTAAACAACCACTGAATACCAGAATAAATTCACACTGACAAATTATTAAAGATGAAAAAAAAAACAGGCATCAGTGTGAAAACTTTTAGTTTTCTCTCTAATTTCTTTTAATTTTCTCATTTTCTTTGTTAGAGAAAGAAACTGAGCTCCTTCTGAAAAGGAGCCTACTAAAATTTGTAATTTCATTAAATACTAAAAAATAAGGAAACAATAGAAATAATGGGTTTATCATATAGTACAACCTCCTTCTTCCATAACCTCTACCCCAGCTGATACCACCGTGTTCCCACAAGAAATAGATTACCTACTCCTCTCTTTCCCATGGTGATAATATTCTTATTATCTCATACTTTCCTCAGTCCACTACCTCTTCTCACAGACAGTCTAACAAACATACCTATATTATATTATATAATCTATATTATGAACATAGGTTTAGAGCAATCACTTTCAACCCATATTTTAATTTAAAGCCTGCATTGCCATTTCAAATCTAAAAGAAGCTTATTGTCTGAAAGCCTTCCTAATTTTTCCATCTGTAAGAGCTGGAAAACAAAATCCCCAGAAATCCCTGTCCCACTAACACAGCAATACACTGGAGAACCCACCATTATGTTCAGGATTCTCAAGTTCTGAGGCCACAGGGATTTGTGATAACCTTGTGCTTCCACAGTTTTGTGTTATGTCATATATAACAAGCTCTTAGACCAAAGGCTTCAGCTGGACTACTCTTGTTCTCTCCTGAGGGCTGTGCAAAGTCCTTCCCCACCTTAAAACCTTTTGATCACTTCTATGGCGACCACAAGTCATACTCAGGCACCATTTAGGGAAGATGATCAACCTTTCTGGGATCTGAGTGTCAGCCTGGTCTGGTTTCTGGTCCAGAAGACAGCAAAGAACAAGCAAATTATCTGCTCCCAGGTACAACAGGGGAGTTAATTTTTCCATGCCTCCTCAGGAGTCAACTCTTTAGATCAGGTATGTTTTAGACTTAGGACAGAACATGTATGACTGTCCTCCTTGCAGCACATGAACTTTAAATAAAGAAATCATTAAATCTGCCTTTCCCTCTCCTTTTTTTTTTCCCCTTTTTTTTTTTAAGATGTCTAGCAGTGATGAGTCTATCACCTCCCCAGATCAGCTGTTCTGCTATTTAGTAATCCACAAAGATAACAAATTGCAAGTTAATATGAGGCTGCATTTTCCCCTTAATTTAATTTTCCAGTCACTGAATTTTGCTGTGCATTTATCAGTGATGCTGAGAGTGTTTCTTGTCCTAAACCTACAAAAACATTTTCATGCCCAAGTACGTATACATAATGATTAACTAAGCTCAACTTGTTAAAGCTACACAGGATTTAAAACCTCATCTCCAGGTCCTGTGCACCCCAATGTCTTCTATTAGTCCTATTTCCTCATTTTCCTTAAGACTGGACACCAAAATTGGACCTGACATTCTAGAAGCAATCTTATCAATACAGCATGCAAAAGCAATCATCACCCCATTAGCCTGACAGTCTGACTTTAATATGCACATTATTGCATTAGTGCTTTTTCCTTCCACAATATTGTACAGTAGACCCAATTATCATTGATAACCTGTCCTTTTCTAAATCACAGCTTAACAACTACCTATAGATTTTTATCCCACACAAGAGGCTGGTAGTATTTGGCAATATTAAAATATGTTTTATTAGCTTCTGCAATTATCTAACATGTTATTTACTACCTCACCAATCTCTGTGCTGCTCAAGCTTTAATGAAAATGCCTTATATCACTGTCTAGACTGTTGATAAAAATGTTAAGTGCTATTGACCCAAGAACTGACTTCAGGCAGACTCTACTGGACACAGTAATTTATATCTGCACATTGACACCACATTTTTCAATTTGTCAATGAACCAGCTTTTAATCCATTTAACATTTGTCACATATTTCAGTTTTCTGAATCAAATTATTTTCTGTTGCAAAGGTAAATATCTTGGAAGAGGAGATTACTGTATTAGAGTAACCTAAAGAGTGCTGTATTACTTTAAAACATCTTGAATCCCAAACTTTTTTATTAGAAAGTAAGCAGGAAAAAATCAATCAGTATAGTAGCTACTACACTGTTTATTTCAATATAGTCACAATAGTCTAAAAGCTTCAGTTCTTCATTTGCTATTGATTTTTGTACTGATATTTTTCAGTGAAAACCAAAAGCTGCTAGAAATACGAGGGTTTTCTTTATTACACATGGCATAGAAAGGTGAGGGTCATGTAAAGCAGAATATGTGAGGTATGTAATGAACCCTTTGTCAAACAAATATAGCTAGTAGAGCAAGAAGTTAATTTAATGTCAATGTACTGAATGTTGCTTTGCTAACACACTTCTGAGATGAACATGTCAGCCCCCTCGCTCCTAGAAAGACAGACAGCCAGTGCTCAGTATGCTTCAGGATGTGTAGTCCCTTCATACACCCTGACAGAGAGCACTGTCCTATGCTGTCACCAGCATAGAAAGAAAGATGTTCCTGAAGAGTGTCTGCAAAGACCATTTGTTAGTTTTTCTGTTCTTCTTGCTTGCTGCATAGCTTATACGAAAGTTTGAGTGCTGTCACGCTTATCTGTTCAACCACCAGATAATAACCATGAAAGGCTCAGAAAGCTGGGGAAACAAAAGTACATGTAGTTAAACTGGAGAATATTTACAGCAATAAGTAATCACTCCAAGAGAAAATTCAGAGGACTATCACCAGAATGGATGACTCCTTGGAGTTCTGGCCCTAATAATGACCTGGCAGAGCCCCTGGCTTCTCTCACAAACACTGAGTGCTGCACTGCTCTGCTGACTACCACATCTGCCATGGAGGAATCAAAAACTACACGGTGCTCGTTGAGAGCATCAATGTGATCTGATGCTGAAAACTCTGGTAAAAACAGAACAGTGAACTTGATCTGAATTGCCTCAGATGTGGAAGTGAGGAAAGGGGAGAGACAAAAGGCATAGTTCAGATTACACATGGATATGTTAAGTGCTGCTAGCATGAAGACATAGTCTAATGGGAAAGATTTGAGAGAGGAAATATGGAAACTGATACTTCTGCTTAGTTTATCCTCCTATCACCTTGTCCAACGCTGGAACAATTTACCCAAGAGGGATTTCAAGAATATGGCTCTCTCCAAAGCAATTTTACCAGCTAGAATCACGGGCACATTAATCAAGTAACCACATGTAAGTCTCAGATGAATAAAAGTCTCAGATGAAACACTGAGGTCTCATCTCAGTGGTAAGACAGAGCTAGAAAAGCAGTGAGGCATTCTGCTTCAATAGCGCTGCTGAGAGGAACTGAGACAGCAGCTGCTAAACTCCACCTCTGACATTCCACATGGACTGAAGGGAGAGATGGGGTAAAGCTCTCCTGGGGTAATTCTCTAGGTACTCAGAGAAATACTTCATGGGCTCAAGTGATGGATTATGCACATTAGTCCTCAGGGTACGCTTGTGAACTCAGAGCAATAATTACTTGAGACCATTTACAGACTCCAAAAATATCATTGCAATAGTTGAAGCTTAACCACATTCTCAAAGTTCTCTTTGCAAGTTGTTCTAAAACTTGTGCTCTAATTCACCATATTGTAGCTTTTAGTTTAGACTGGATTTAGCCAGTGGAGACAGTTGAATTTAGGCCTGGCTATACCTAGTAAAGATGCAGTAAGATTTGAAAGACTAAATTTTAGGGTGCAACTCAACATTGCAGTTTTTTGGAGATCACTGGAAATTTTACACAAAATACTCAAATAAATACATACCTCACAAAATACATGTCTGTGAAAATTATAAATTTAAATTAAAAATTGTCATGAAGAATAATAGTGGTAATGTGAGAAAAGATATCATAAATTAAAATGATTATTTGAAATCATAATATATTTGGAATCATAGATAATAATTATGCTATTAAGCAGCTACCTTGCTTCTGTCCTTAAATAGCATTCCCTAGTATTTCTGCAAAATGGAAAAAGAATATTTATACAATGTTTTCTACCAAGATTTACTTGGAATAATTTGTTTATATTATTTTAGAAAACGAAAAATAAAATGTAATTTCAAACTAGAGGAGACTACTGTTAAATAACACTGAACAAAACAACAAAACTCACTGTTTTCTCCTGGAGGACATGGAAGTGACTAATTTTTTTTTGCCTCTGCATAGCTACTTC